AGAATGTGCTTTCGGTGTTTTGCAAGCTCGATTCGCTATTATTCAACGTCTGTCACTCATTTGGGATTTGATTGGTAAGATAATGAAGACATGTATCATTTTGCATAATATGATAGTTGAAGATGAAAGAGATACATATCTACATTATTATGATATATCCCAATTCGAACAAGTGGGTACCGAGAATTTAAGCGGTTCAAGTCATGTATATTCTGCAGATAGACATGCTGGAATGATTGAGGAAATAGAATGCGACTTTGAGATAGAGGAACACATCAACAACTCAAAGCAGATTTGATTGAAAACATATGACAAAAATTTGGCTAGATAAATAATTAAGTTATTTGTTCTTATTTTAATTTTAAATATTTATATTGTAATTGCAATGTAACGTAATATAATGTAATGTTTTCTTCAAAAAATTTAATTATTATTTTTATATTTTATTTTTTTAATTAACAATAATAATTATAACAATAAAAATACAAATTTGATATTAAAATTAAAATTTAAAAATAAATTAAAACTAAATTTAATTAAATAATATAACTTTTTCTCATAATTTTTTAATAAATCAAAATATTGACAAATAATAATATAATAATTAAATAAATAATTAATACTAAAAATTAAAACTATAATTAAAAAAAATATATATAATATGAAAATAAAAATTTATTAAAAAATTAGGATGAGTGTCTTTGTTGCGAATATAAAATAGAAGAGAGTATTTCCGCTAACGTGGTAGAAAGAGAAAGTGACGTGGATAACAAAAAGTAATGGAGATACCCAAAATTAGGGATATCAACAGGGCAGGTTTGGGACGGGTTCTGCAGGCCCCGAGACCCGCCCCGCCCCGCTTCCACCCGGCCCCAGGACCCGCCCCGCCCCGAACCCGGAGGGTTCGGGGCTAACTCGGCAAACCTGTTTTTTTTAAAAATATATAATAATAAATATGTTTTTAACAATCGAATACTAAAACAAAAAACATTAAAAGCACAAAAAAAAATCTAAAAACAATCAAATATTGATCCATAAAAATAAAATAAATAAATAAATAATATATTTTTATTATATAAATATACATATGTTAGGTATAATAGTTTTACAAAATTATTTTGAGCAGACGACTAATTGAATTTTATATTTAAAATTATTTAAGTAAATAAATAATATGTTTTTATTATATAAATGTACATATATATTAGTCATAATAATTTTAAAAAATATCCGGGTTCGAGTCTGGGTCCAGGTTAGGGCGGATTTTTTAGTAAAACCCGTAACCCGCCCCGAACCCGGCCGGGTTTAAAATTTTAAATCCACAACCCGCCTCGAAATATATTATTTAGACCCGAACCCGCCCCATTAAGAGCGGATCCGGAGCTAACCCGCCCTATTTGACATCCCACCCAAAAACGGTATCTCCGTTGTGGATGGTCTAATATTGAGTTGGTGTATTGAATATTGGTGTACATTGGGACACATGGAAAAAATTTTAAATTTCTTTTTATATATTTTATTTAAATTATATATATGTTAATATTTTTATATTATATAAAATTTATTTTTATAAAATAATACTAATATTAAATATATATATATTTAAATTAAATATAATTTACTTATTATGAAAAATAAATATTGACATATTTTTATTTAACAAAATTTCAATTAAATATAGAGAAAAAAGAAATTAAAATTTGTATAAATGAATTTCTTTGATGTGGGTATAAAATGATATGAATTTCTCTGATGATGTGGCAGAAAGATAATATGATGTGGTGGGGAAGAGAGAGGGAAAACGGATGGCCGTTGAAACGACAACACTTCATATACCCGTCACGTGTCAATGTAAAGGTCGGAAATGTGTAGGCCGGTGATTTGGAGTTTGGAACTTTGAAAAAACAAAAAAATCGTACTACCTCCTTACGACTCTTAAATTTCATTTACTTTTTGCATGTTGATATTTGAATATTAATTATTATATCAAAATATAGTATAAATTAAAAAAAATTGCAAAAATACTTCAATTAGTGTCTTATAATACTGATAGAAGGATATTTGTAAACAAATTATACAAATATAAGGATATTTTTAATGTTAAGTATAATAACGCAAAAAGTTAAATGTAGCCCTAAGAGGCGGACGAAGGGAGTATTTAATTAAAGTACTTTTGACCCATTTTTTTTATTTGTTCCACAAAATATAACATTTTTCTATATTTAGTACATTTATCAATTTTAAATATATTTAACATATATAAATCAGTTTAATTAAATTTCTGACCTCTTACATGTAGGACCATCAAAATCTATATATTTGTATCTCTGATCAATTAATAAATACTCTCTCCGTCCCAAAATAATAGGACATTTGTGATGAGCACGAAAATTGTTCAATTAATAAATACTCTCTCAGTCCCAAAACAATAGGGATATTTGCAATGAGCACGAAAATTAAGAAATAATAGTCATATATTGAGGTTTGGTGTAAAAGTATTTTTAAAAAAATAAAATGCCCCAACTTTATTTAATTATTGTGGAAAAATAGGGATAATTTTGTAAAAAAATAAGGAGCTAGTTACTAAAAATTGAAATCAGACTATTGGTTTAGAACATAAGAAAATGGTAAAATAAAATTATTGTTTTGGGATTGACGAAAATGATAAAATGAGACCATTGTTTTGAAACTGAGGAAGTATTTTTATTTATCTTTAAAACTCCTCATTTTTTTTTATAAAACCAATTTTTGATAATTATAAATAAATATATATATATATTTTATTTGTATTATTATATAAAATTTTATCTTTTATAAAATAATATTTATATTATATTTTATTAAAATATAATATTAATAAAATTTAAATACATACTTTAATTTTTCTTTGATTATTAAATAATTAATCTCCATTATATAAATAATTAATCTATATTAGCTAAATTTTTGTGGCCACACAAAAAACTCCACCTTTGCCGAAACAAAAGAGTATAAGTGTTATATAAATAAAAGATAAAAATATTTTAAACTATCTTATTTTAATAAAATAAATAAATAATAACTCAATCGTTTTTTTTTATAATTTTTTTTTTAATTTTTAAAAATTATTAAATGAATTATAATTATTTATTTTATTAAAAAATACTTATCTCTTAGACTTGTAGTATATAATTTGTATTGCCGATACAACCAAACATGAAACTTTTCGTTTTAGACAAATATATTTTGTGCATATTTTACTTACATAAAAAAATTTTAATAATTAATAAAATATTAGTAAAATAGCATAAAATTCTTTTTATAATTTTTTTAATTTGCTGAAAATCTATTTATGAAAGAGACGGTTATGCCCCTATCTTTTCTCTTCTCATTCTCTCTTCCCATCCTTTCAGCATTTTCTTCTTCCTTTTCTATTTATTTTAAAAAAAAATTCTTCTTCTTCGTCTTCCTCGCCACCGCTGCCGCCGACCGGACATTCCTCCACCCACCTCTCTTCCCGCCGGAGTCGTCCTTTCCCTCGCCACCACCATGTCTAAGCCCCACCCTACAACCCCCATCCCAAATACTCCTTCATTTCCACCATTTCTTCCCTTTCTACCCCTCCTCGACACCGTCGTCGGAATCCTTCACCCTAAAAATCCTCCGCCGAAAGCCAATCGCCTTTACAACCTTCAGAAGCTCCACAAATCCTCGACTCATTTGTTTCTTTTAATAGTACTTACAGAAAATTGATTTACAGAAAATTCATTCCCACAAACAAAGAATGAAACACAAAATTTTTTAGGTATCAACAACAATAAATTTTCCGTTAACGCATACACGACAAGAAACAACTAAAAATTGTTTGCAAAGGAAATTGATTGTATTGAAATGAAAAAACACAGCTTGCCTTGCGCTCAATTTCTAAATTATTTTTAAGCTCCAGAATTTGTGCCCTAACATTGTTCGATTCTGACGACATATCCGGCGGCTTTTGGTTGGAGACACAATAATGGATCTGGTTTTCTCCGCCGCCTCGTTTCGAATAATCACCAAAGCTGTGGTCTTCCTCGATCTTTAAAATCCGACATTTCGTCCGCAATTTATGTAATCATTCGACTCTTAGCTCGGGGTGTCGTGTGTTTGTGATTTCCATGTAGAGCGAGTATATCTCTGTGTATATGAACAATTGGACAGAAGTTCTGAAAATCTCTACCAGCTCCTCGATGTTCAGGGTGACCGGCTTCTCCAGCAGCAAGTTATTTTTCTTCACGGCCGCCATAACCGCCCACTTGAGGTGCAAGCTGATGGGGAGAGGCATGTAAACTGTGTCTACTTTCGGATCGTCGATGACGGCTTCGTAGGATCCGTAGACCTTAGCGGAATCGGGGAAACCATTCTCCTTGGCGAATTTCTGGGCTTTCTCCGTGTACGAAATAAGTAGGGGAAGATTAGGTGAAAAGGGAAGGACAATTTTGTACTTTCATTCTCCTTACTTAGTGAATTTTCAGTAATAATTGCAGTCACGACGCTTCTGATACACTTATTCGTTAAGTATTAACGGATGAGCTATTTTTTGCAATATTTTTAAAATTATGAGTAAATTTTTTTAAATTTTTGTATCATATCGAGTTTTCAGCAAATTTAACAAATTATAAGAGGATTTTATGCTTATTTTGTCTACAATATTTAATATTTTGTGTATTTTTATTAAACATAAAATATTAAATAATTTATAAAAAAGAAATAATTAATTATATTAAATATTATTTTTTCTTTTTTATCAATAATAGAGTGAGTACAGTAACACAGGTGAGGCGTGTAGAATTTATTATTAGATTACAGTACGTTTTAGGCAAGTGCATGCAATGTATGTGGAATTTTTGTTGATTTATTTATTCATATCAAAATATTTATAGTGGTATTTATTTATTAATATTAATATTAATATTTATTATTATTCTTATTGTGTCTATATATATAATGGGCTCTCCTTCTCGGCTTCTCCTTCCTCTCTTAGTTACCTAAATTTTCTGCCTAACCGAAAGAAACTACCATATTTCTACGTTTTCAAAAATGGCGATGAATTTGTCCCACCAGATCGGAGCGACATTCGGATCTCCATCGACGGCGGATTCTGGAGGAGGATTTTCAAGCGAGGCGCCTTCGCCCGCAGCTGTAAGCGCGGTTTGGAGAACTCCTCCATCGACGGCAAATTTAAGGTTTTCCGCGACTAAAAATGGAGCGGAGAGAAATAGGGTATGTCTGCCTCCGGCTCAAGCACTGCGGCCAGACCTGTCGATGGCGACCCAGGCGCTGTCGTCCGATCCGATCAGAACCGAGGAAAAGGATTGCGCGATTTGCGAAGGTACGGAGGGTAAGGGCAAGGGTAAAAAGGGGGTACCGATTTTCGTTATGATGCCGCTGGATAGCGTGATGTCGAATCATAGGATGAATAGGAATAAGGCGATGGAGGCGAGCCTGCAAGCGCTGAAGAGCGCGGGCGTGGAGGGGATAATGTTGGACGTGTGGTGGGGATTGGTGGAGGGGGAGAAAGCAGGGGAGTATAATTGGGGAGGGTATTTGGAGCTTCTGGATATGGCGAAGAAGCATGACCTAAAAGTGCAGGCCGTCATGTCCTTTCATCAGTGCGGCGGAAACGTTGGAGATACCTGCACGTAAGCTCGCTCCGCTTAATTAATTTATCGTTCAAACTTCTTCAATTCCGCCATAGTTGGTTATTTCGTGGATTGTTTGATAAGTAATTAGCATTTGATTGTTGTTGTTGGTTGGAAATCCTGTGTTAACATTGATGGGATGCTTCCATGGATTGTGTTGGATTGTGCATATGCTTGCTATTATATGCTCCTATTTTCTTTTGCTGGTGAATTTATATGAGACAACAAACTTTAAGTAGCGTTGTTTTGTGGATTTTACTACAGATTTTTACTATTGAGATTTTTTTTTTCAAAAAATATTACATCAAACAATTACTTTTTTTTTTTTTAATTTTTTTATATTCTACTACAAATTTATTTTATATTTAACACATCAGGTCAATCTTTATTTATATGACATCAAACAATCATTCAAATTCAAATTTTTACTATTAAAAAATCCAAACCCAAAACCTAAAATCCGCAAACAAACATTGTCAAACAAAGTTTGTTTGGGGGTTTGGATTTTGAATTGAAATTTAAATGGTAAAAATTTTGAATTTGAATAGTCGTATGATATGATATAAATAGGTGTTGGCTTGAAAAAATACAAGGAATATAATCTATGGGAAGACATTAGATAGATATTGATATGAGAACTTTATGTTAGATTGAAAATTCAAAATCCCAAAAGAACCAACAATCGCATAAACATTGGAAGATAGTAGATAAGATACACTTTGGTTCAATTTCTGTTCCAAAAGTAAGCTCAGTTGTTAAAAAAGGATCCGGTCTTCCAATCTAAAATCAATTAGTAATAGGTGGAGTTACCTTCACCCTTATAAGCCAACGAGAGATTCCACATTTTTCCAGTGTGGGATATATTCAACATGAGTTTCATTCTAAGGAACAAGAGTAAAATGAAAGAATGATATATATAAATATATATATATATATGATGGTGCAGGATTACTTTGCCAAAATGGGTGGTTGAGGAGATGAATGAGGATCCGGATCTTGCATACACAGATCAGTGGGGAAGGAGAAACTACGAATACGTATCGCTCGGCTGCGACACCCTCCCGGTGCTCAATGGAAGGACCCCTGTCAAGTGCTATTCCGATTTCATGCAATCTTTCAATGACACTTTCGAGCATCTTTTAGGCGACACAATTGTGGTACGTAGTAATCTAAATCTCTTTCTTGTCCAAGAAAATTCATTTGATAGTTGTTTGTCCGTATCATATAACTTGGAAGTAAGGGGGTGGTTGATACAGAGAAATGGAGACGGGAAATGGAAATGCCTACATTTATCTTATTTAGTTGACACAGAGAATTCAGAATCGAAAAACAAACCATTTTCTATTCTTTAGTTTCATTTCTCTTCTTTATGCTGAGAGAAATGAAATTAAGTGAGTGCAGTCTGTTTATATATATATATTTATTTATTTATGTATTTTTTTATACTTAAACTTTTACAATTTAATTTCTGCTTATTTTTTATTCTTTTATTTTTCTTACTATTATTTAATTTTTATATTATTCAAATCTTATAAAATATCATATCTAAATTATTATTAAAATAAATTATCAAACTAAAATATAACTAAAAAATACAGTAATATTTTTTTTATCTAATTTATCATTTTTTAATGATCGATATTTTTTTTTCTGCCGGCAATATAACATATTCTATTTATGCGTGTATTGCTTTTTTTTTATAGATATATATTTTTCAACTGAATTCTCTGTTTAATAAGCAAAAGAATCCATTCTCATTCTTTACTAAATTCTTTTTTTTCTGCAATTCTATCCTTGGTACTAAATGCACCCTAATTGTTCACCATTTTTTCATTTAGGAAGTTCAAGTTGGAATGGGTCCCGCAGGCGAGCTACGTTACCCATCTTACCCCGAGCAAGACGGGATCTGGAAATTCCCCGGAATCGGAGCTTTCCAATGCTTCGACAAGGCATGCCAATTACCCTCTTTTCATTGAGTTTGTTCTGATACACATATATATACAAATCTAATTTACTACCCTTGTGCTGTGCAGTACATGGCCAAGAGCTTGAAAGCTGCAGCTGAGGCGATCGGGAAACCGCAGTGGGGTCGCAACGGTCCAACCGACGCCGGCAGCTACAACAACTGGCCGGAAGACACAACCTTCTTCCGCAGAGAAAACGGCGGATGGACTACCCCATACGGCGACTTTTTCCTCACATGGTACTCCCAGATGCTCCTCGACCACGGCGACAGAATCCTCGAATCCGCTGCGACCATTTTCGACGAGAAGGGAGTCCGAATCTCTGCCAAGGTTGCGGGCATCCACTGGCACTACGGCAGCCGCGCCCACCCCCCCGAGCTAACTGCCGGGTACTACAACACCCGCTACCGCGACGGGTACCTCCCCGTCGCGCAAATGCTGGCCCGCCACAACTCGGTCCTGAACTTCACTTGCATCGAGATGCGCGACCAGGAGCAGCCGCGGGAGGCGCAGTGCGCGCCGGAGAAGCTCGTGAGGCAGGTGGCCATGGCGGCGCGGCGCGCCGGGGTCCCTCTTGCGGGGGAGAACGCTCTGCCGCGGTACGATGAGCAGGCGCACTCGCAGATCGTCGGGGCGTCGAGGAGCCTGGGTCTGTGCGCGTTTACGTACCTGCGGATGAGCCGGGAGCTGTTCGGGGTGGATAACTGGTGGCGGTTTGTGGGGCTGGTGAAAAAGATGAAGGATGCGGAGAGGGAGAGCCATAGGTGGAGGGAACAAGTCGACCGGTCTGTGGTTTTAACTCAGCATCTCGTCCAACAAGCTGCGATAGCGCTCATGCGCTGATCTGATCTAAACTTGGCCGGCCAGTGGCATGCAGGCCCGTTCCTGACATATCGGGGGCATGGGGCGGAATTTAAAACAAGGACCCTAACAAATATTTATTTGTTTAAAAGTTCTCTACCAGTTTGAGAACAAATTTAATTGAAAAGAAAATTTAAAAACAAAAAGTCCAATTCTAAAAAATTCATCAACTCAAACATTTGAAATTATATCATCAAATTCATTGAACTTATATACTTCTTTTATATTTAGCTTAATCACCACTTTTATTACTAAAGTTTATTACAAGAGCTATTTTCATGGAATACATACAAAAGATAAATAAAAATACATAATATATTAAATAAAATTACCCCTCTTAATATTTTTATATGCAAAATTATTAATAATATTGTCAACTACAATAGTTTATAGCTTTTTCAATAGATAAGATATGTAAATCATTCAATCTTTTTTGAGACATGGTTAACCTCAAATAAATTTTCAATAATGTTAACTTAGAGAAATTTCTTTTAGCATATAATTGTTTGAAATCTCTCGTGTAAGGATGCAATAGACATATGCATACACTAACTAGAAAATAATTAATTTTAAATTGTTCTTTGTCAGATTGTATTATACTTTTATTTTTATTTTTATATCTAGCTCTCACAATTTATTTTTTTATTTCTATATACACATTCCTTTAATATAGTATATTATATATATACACACGCCAAAAGCCCTAGAATTTTGGGCCCAGCTGAATTTTGGGCTCTTCCTGGGCTGGGCTCCAGGTGATCGCCCTCATGGCCCAGCCCCAGGGACGGCCCTGTGTACAATGGAAATAGTCGACACATTCGTGGTTGACACAATTTTATAAGACAACTGATTACAACTAAGATTATTGTGATAGACCATGTTACGTCAAAGGATAATCTAACGGATCTGCTAACCAAAGCGTTAAACCGTGATGGAGTTTACAAACTGATTAGAGGAATGAGACTTAACCTGCTGAAATATAAATCTTATAAAGGAAAACCCAACCTAGAAAGATCGAAGATCTCAAAGAACTAAATTCAATGGGACAACCTGCTTATAAGAATTGTGTTGGGTCACTGTGGGGGTCTAATAGCCTCAACCCATTCCTGTTAACGAATGATTACAAAGTAAGGAGGATAACAAATAATTATTTTAATTATCACTAAGTGAGTATCATATCACTCATAAACTTAGAAAGATCATTCATGTGAGAAAAGTGGGGCCGTTTCAAAGGCAAAATGGTCAGGCTCAATTCTTTAGAAACTATTGCAAAATCAGAACGGGTACCATGGCTAAAACGGATCAAAATATGAGAACCGAACCAATAATATGGATTTTGTGTCAATATGTAGCTCAGATACTAGGAAATTGAACAGTTCAAGAATAAGGAATCTATTGGACAGTTGGTAAAAGACTACATGTTGTACAAAGGAAAATTCAAAGAGATATCTACTTATCCTATATAGAATTTATTTCTTTCATCAAGTCATTGTCCTTTCTCTTTCATGTGGGAGATTGTTGGTGTGTGAAGGTGAAACTGGAAGAAGAAAAATATGAAAGATTTATCCCACATTTAAAACAACAAAGAGATTTTACCCTCCATAAATACAATGTGCTCCTATCTATAATTAAATAATTAATTAGTTGGATTGGACTCAATTGTGAGTGAGCCTAGCTTGGCATGGACAATTGGACACACACACAGACATGTATATATATATATATATAGGTCAAGATGGGCCTTGGGCCACGGTGCTCATGGGCGAGCCCAATTGTGATAAAAAAATTAATTAATTCATATTTATATTTTATTCGATTAATTTATTTTGACCGTTGAAATTCAAATTAATTAGATAGAAAAAAGTTGTTGCAACATATTGCAACATGTGTTAGAAAGTGGAGGGTGGTTGCCACTTTTGTGGCACTTTATTTAATCTTCTTTCTTAAATTAAATATTAAAGTCACCAACAAAATTTAACGTGAAAAAACATATGTCAGAATCTCTTAAAAAAATTATCCTAGAAAGTAATCGGTGACAGGCCGAATTTGCTTCAAGGAATTCGCGTGGAACACAAGACTGAATATTGTGTTATTTAGATTTCGCTTGATCTCAATTTTCTTGTTTTTGGGTTAACAAAATATTCAAGATGATTAAAGAGTGCAAAATGTAATTCTTCTCGTCCTTTACACATTTCCTGCTAGAGCACATATATGAACATTTGATGAGTCACACTTATAATACAATCCATTAGGATTGCTTTCACTTCTTCATATATATAGAACCTTTTTTTTCAAATAAACGCATTGCATCATTTGAATTATGGCAATTTCATCTTCAAAGAGGTAAACAATGAAAAAATGGACAAAATATGTGAGTTGATGCATCAATAATATTGCCAAAAAAAAAAATATAGAAAAATTGTGCAAGTATGAACTTTCAACTCTTTTTGCAATCAGAAAAACAACACCACACAAGAGACAGATAGACTAAATAGTCAATTGAACCAGAATGAATAACATATAAACATATAATTGTGAGTCAATATGAATCCATGACATGCAAACAATTGAAGTTTCAATAGTTATTTCACAGTTATCAATTTATATTGTAACACTCCAGTCAGCTCCAACCGGAGTGTCACCGCCACGCTGCACCGGAAGACTCATTCCTCAGCCAACAAGTCCTACATTGTGACACTAAAGCTAAAATAATGAATACAAACAACTAAATAGGAATTTAAAATTAAAGTGCACGACTTATCATTTAAATAAGTAAAGTTCGAGTCAAAACACAAGTTAGAAATAGTTCAAAATGCATTATTCTTAAACATTAATAATGAATTTCAAAAGCATTCTAGAAGATAAAGTAGTTCTAGTTCCCACGATGAATCATATGACGTGAATGCATCATTTAGGTATAACGGAAACATCATCACCTACAACACAGCGGTTGAGTAGCACAATTAACCAAAGATATATTAATACAGTATAAGTCACGATTCACGTGTAAATGCCACATAATCATTTGAAGAATATGATTTGAATAAAATGACACATATTACATAAGGATAACTCACACACACAAGCCTTTTAGCGTCTCCCTTATGTCTCACTTTTATTCTCAAGTGACTGTGACATCACGAAGGAAACTCCGCTAGGTCTTAATTAGGGCCGGTTCGACCCAGTTTCCAACCTTATTACTTCGTATGACACGTCACATAATTACACATAACAAGTATAAGGTCATCACCCTCAAGAAAAGCTCCACAAAAAGTACGTAAGGGTTTGAAGCCCAAAGTACACGTAAGTTAATTTATTTATTAGTTTGCGAGGGGCGCCAAACTAGAGCTGTCAAAATGGGTTGAGCCCGTCGGGTTGGCCCACCCCGCCTTACTTTTAAGGAGGGTTGGGTTGTGATTTTTTAAGCCCGTTAAAATGCGGGTCTAAATGGGCCAACCCGCATGGGCCGCGGGTTGAGGGTGGGTTAGCCCAAAGTGGGGCGGGTTAGCCCGCGGGTCAAGTAAATATAATAATTAGTACTCACTCGTCTATGTATTTTTTTACCATTTTTTACTGTCATATTAAAAAATTATAATAAAATTAATCAAATATTAATATAAGAATATATTTTAATTTTTTATAAATTACAAACATACAATGATAAATAAGTTAAGACGAATAAAATAAAATTTATATTATCATTATCTTAAATAAATTATCAATATTGTCTCCACGTTTTTCTTCTCTAACTATGTTATTCATGACATTGTTATTTGTTTCGATTTTTCATCATTTGTTTTGTTCGTTTTCCATTTTATTATTTTATAATTTTACAAATTCATAAAATTAATTATGATTTATTTTTAAAATGAAGTATTTCTTATTATTAATTTTTTTAAATACACCAATTAATAATATTTAGAATTGAGAATTTTTATATTTGTTATTTATTTTAAAATATTTTGTTATTTAAATTCTATAATAAAACTATTTTTAGCTATTTTTAAATATTAATTACGAAAATATTTATAATTTTAATATTCTTTTAATATTTTTAAAAAGCCCGTGGGCTAGCCTGCTTAGCTCGCCACCCGCCAGTGGGTTGGGTTGGGCTGATGAAATTTTGATCCGCCCCGCCGCAGGTTGGCCCGCAAACAACCCGCTTATTTGTGGGTTAAGGTGGGTTGTGGGGCAATCTGCCCCCACTAACCCATTTTGACAGGTTTACGCCAAACAACCCACAACCCTCTAGTCTTTGGTATAACATACCAAGAGGGGATTGTATTCAATCCATCCCTCCATCACGGTCTAAAGACCTTTTCATCGTGAATGACGGGCACCTTGGAATCACCCAAAAAAGAAACCCGCCATCTCGATCCCTTGACCTAGCCCATTAGGGCTCTAATTCGAGGTTAGCTAGTTATCCTAAAATACCTATATACCCTCACGTGTTTGCAAGACACAGAGATAGAAGGCTATGCCTTATGATTTAATCAATCGACGAGTTGATTGGGCTCGACGGGTAGTTTCAATCACCAATTTGACCAAATACTCAACATGCTATTAGACAAATTTAAAAGAGAGCTTTAAACTTGTTAGAATATGAAACTGAAATTCTCTCTTTCAATTATAAGAATGCGCACATATTTATAGTACAAATCGTCTAAATAAGGCAGGAATCCCACGAATTTCTTAAATAAGATAACTACCATAAATATAATATATTGCTTCTAAATATATTTTAACACCCCTCATCAAACTCAAGATATGATGCAACAAACTTGAGTTTGTCAGAAGTGACTGAAAAAGATATAACCGAGATATTTCACATACGAATTTGAATTCGCCAAGATTGACTGAAAGTAGTGTAGCCGTCCACTGGATCAGAGTCAGAAGCAGAACTCTCAACACCGTTAGAGTTGGAAACAAGACTCGCTCGTTCACAACGGAACTAGAGCCGAAAACAGGACTCGCTCACTCTATAGAGCTAGAGTCAGAAACAGGACTCGCTCGCTCACAACGGAACTAGAGCCGAAAAAAAGACTCGCTCACTCTATAGAGTTACAGTAAAAAACAGGACTCTCAACGGCGTTAGAGTCGAAAGTAGACTCTGTCAATGGAGAGTGGAGTAGTAGAGGCAGAGATGACATGAAAATAACAACATGGTCGTGGATAGAAGCAAATACATTA